AAGGTGGTTCTGTCTACCTTTTCTTTTCTTTTCCTTTTTTTTCTTTCTTTTCTTTTCTTTTTTTTTTTTTTTTTTTTTTTTTTTTTTTTTTTTTTTTGGTTTTTTGAGACAGGGTTTCTCTGTGTAGCTTTGCGCCTTTCCTGGAACTCACTCTGTAGCCAAGGCTGGCCTCGAACTCACAGAGATCTGCCTGCCTCTGCCTCCCGAGTGCTGGGATTAAAGGCTTGCGCCACCACCTTCTAGCTGTCTACCTTTTCCTTAGGACAATTATGAAAGCAAGACCTGTTAATTTTTTTTTTAATTTATTTATTTATTATGTATGCAGAGTTCCGGCATGTATGCCTACACACCAGAAGAGGGCACCAGATCTCATCCTAGATGGTTGTGAGCCACCATGTGGTTGCTGGAAATTGAACTCAGGACCTCTGGAACAGCAGCCTGTGCTCTTAACCTTTGAGCCATCTCTCCAGCCCCCCCCTGTTAATTTTAACTGCCTCAATTGAGTCAGAAAAGTTCCCAGGATTAGGAATTGTAGTAATTCTAGATAAGAAATTTGAGAAGCATTAGCCCCCTGCTGATTTTAAAGGGAAAATATTCGAGAAAGAATAGAATTTCTGGGGGAAATTACAGCTGTTGCATGCATGATTGTAGAAGTGAAGTTCAAAACCGTCGAAGGAATCAGCAATATAACGAGGTCAAAAAGAGCCTGCAAGCTGCATGCATTCAGCAAAGTCCTACACTGCCCTGTGGTCCACTGGTCCTTGCCAAGTGAGAGACCATCCCCACCGGCTTTGCCTCCCTTGAGGAGATCCACTGGACAGGCTTTCACATACTGATCCGAGACTAGGTTGCAGGGCTTTTGACATGAAGTGGCACCTTCTAGAAGAGCAGCAAATGCTCTTCACCACTGAGTCATCTCTCCAGCCCACAAGGCCTATTTTTTTTTTTTTGTAAAAATTATCTTCTTCCTTCAATCCTTTCTCGTTCCCATTGCAGAGCTAGAAGAACTCAGGGCTTTGAGCATGAGTATTCTATTGAACTACACTCCAGCCCCCCCCACCCCCTCCCCCTCCCAGTTCTATTTGGATAAGCTGAAAGTCAGTCTCAATGAACCTTGGAGCAGGAGACATTGGCATATGACTGATGAATCTTACCCTGATTCCCCATCACCTCCACCCCAACACAGCCAAATGCTGGATGGGGGAGGGTTGGCACATTTAATAAGTGAAACCAAGAATGCTGTTAAATATCTTGCAGTGACTTCTACAATGAAGTATTGTCCGTCTGAAGTCAACATATGTGCTATCTTTACTTCCTCTGTGCCCTACACTCATTTTTATATGTGATGACTGATAACTGCAGATTTCCCATCATTAATGGAACCTTTTTACCAACCACTGCCATGATAGTATCACCCACCCTTCATTACCCTTAAGAGAAACAAAGGTATGACCGAGAATGGTGGCACACGCCTTCAATCCCAGCACTTGGGAGACTTGGGAGGCAGAGGCAGGTGGATCTCTGCGTTCAAGGCCATTCTGGTCTACAGAACGAATTTCAGGACAGCCACGGCTACAGAGAAACCCTGTTTCAAAAAACAAAAACAAAAACAAAACCAGAAAGGATACAGTTCTTGTCACGCAGTTGCTGGTGAAGGCAGGACTTGAAACATTTGCAAGCAATCACCCTTGAACAGTAGATGGCACTCTCCTCCCCTAAACTAAATGAGTTATGAATGAACTCTTCCTAACCCCAGAGCAAGAACCATAGTAATGAATACTAGCCAGCCCTAACGTCTGCCCAGATTGTTTATATCCCTCCTCTCTTCTTCATTCCCTGTCTAGTCCATATGTCCCCATATGTTTCTTGTAGTGTTATGTTAATACAGTCACCTCTGGTATTGTGTCCTAACCAATTCAGCATATTGCCATCAGCATCGCTTTCCATTATACACAGATGGTCAATGCTTGCCTTTAAAATGATGTCACAAGGCCTGGGATGGCATGAAGGATTCTCTGAGAAAGCAATGGGATGAGCAGAAGGATCAAAGCATAAAAGTGGAGGTCTTCAGCAGCCATCAGGATTAGGAAATACTATTAGGCTGACGTGGGAGAGACAGCCTCAGAGCCTGGACCCTCCTGCCATAACCAAAAGGCTTTCAAGGTGCTAGCATTAGCGCTGTGCTTGCACATTATTAGTGTGACTAGACAATAAAGAATCTGAGTAAAAGGGAAAGGAGAATCCACCACATCTCACCTTGCAACAGGAAGGAGGTGGGAGAGAGAAGAGTCAGCCAGCCATGCCTGGGGGTTCCTTGCCTGTTGATTCGCCCCCACCCCCGATCAGAAGTACACAGAAAACACTACTGTACTGAACACATGCAGATGTTTCCCCCGTCCTTATTCTCTGAACAATGCAGTATAACCACTATTTACATACTATGTACATTGCATTAGATAGTATAAGCAGTCTAGAGATAATTTAAAATACATGGGAAGATCTATGAAGGATATGCCACCTCAAAAGTGATTAAGTGCCACTCCACTAAGAGGGGGGAAAAGAGAAAGAAAAAGGAAAACAGCTTGAGTTTTTTTGTTTTTGTTTTTTGGTCTCACAGGCTTCCATTGTGTGATTCTTCAACACTACAGGGTCAGATTTAAATTCTCTACCTCGAAGGGCAGTGGTGGCGCATGCCTTTAATTCCAGCACTTGGGAGACAGAGGCAGGTAGATCTCCGAGTTCTGAAGCCAGGCTGGCTTATAGAGTGAGTTCTGGGACAGCCAGGACTACTCAGAGAAATCCCATTCTAAAAAAACAAAAACAAAAACAAAAACAAATTACCTCAAGGAATTTGGTTTAGCTTTAATTAGCTGCTGTAAGTATTTCTGAGCCAACTTGGGGAAGCATTTATCTAGAAAATATTATTTTTTTTAGCCAAAATATAAGCTAGACGTAGGGTGTCATTTTCCTAGCAGGCTGGATCACATTTCCTGAACTCTAAACTCGGTTGGGCCATCTGGACAACTTTAGCCACAGTCTATTCTTATTACATTGCTTAGTGACTTATTGATTATAATTTAAAAAATAGTATATCATTGAGGCCTGCCTAATCTACATTGCCCAATGTAAGCTCTTTGAGTAGATGTGGGTCACCACATCTCACAAGCACACACACATATATACATATCTAGGTATATATATTCAAGAACCAGTGATGCTTACAGGTTATTCTCCTATGGGCAACGGATGCAGCTTTTTTTTTTTCATTTTTAGAAAAACAAGCTTAAAAAAAATGAATACCAGACAAATGAAACCCAGACTTCAGCAGTTACATGCTGCTTCCTGAGTAACTAAAGAATGTGCTTCTTGTGGTTAAAATGAGAGATCTGTTTAATATGGATGAAATGCCAACACCCAAGGCATTTTTATTGACATTTCACTGTGACTTTTTGAACTTAGGAGTGCTGACATGAAAACCCATTCTTTCTGCTCTGGGAAGCCTGCAGTAGGATTGCAGAGCCAGGGTGCAAGAGCATGATGACAGGGTCTCTCTCTCTCTCTCTCTCTCTCTCTCTCTCTCTCTCTCTCTCTCTCTCTCTCTCTCTGTGTGTGTGTGTGTGTGTGTGTGTGTGTGTGTGTACTTTGTTTTCACCCACACTGCTGGATGATTCCGTCTCGAGAACATGTTAGAAAAACACATTCTCAAAACCATCACTTCTCTTGCTCAGGCCTTGTTACCCTGTCAGAGAGAAAAATGTTCGCAATGGGCATTTGTAAAGACACCCCCCCCCCCCCCCCAAGTCAAGCGACACTTGTGCACTTTGGAAACAGAGCGTTTCCAGAGCAACTAAGCAGAGAGCCCTGTGGCACCCCGGGTACATTTGAAAACAGATCTCAGTGTTTTAGGAGTCCAGGATAGCCCCTCTTTGCGATCCTCCCCGGCGCTCGCTGCTCTGGGTTCCGGGACAGCCCTGGCGTCTGGCAGCAGACAAGGAGAGACATGCTGTTTTGTTTAAATCCTCCACATTCTTTGCCATTTCCCCATTGGCCGGATGGGGCTACCCTCCCCGCCGCGGCCGCTGCTGATGTCAGCCTGGTCGCGCTCGCTCCTCCCGCACCCACCTCCCGGCCCCAGGCACACTGCAGCTCCGCGCGGTCTCTCCAGACGCGGCGAGGTAGCTGCAAACTCACGGGCACGCACGGCGCTCGCAGAGCCGAGGGACTCGGGGGAGGGGACGCGCGCAAGGCGCTGGCAGCCACCCTCCGAGGTTGGAGACACCCGGGGCCCAGAGCAGGGGAGAGCCCTGGCGGCCACGGCTTCCCTTTTCTTTCCCAGCTGAGCTCTGGAGAGACTCGGGGACTAGCCCTAAAAAAGAGCAGGAAATCTTGTTTACCGCCCGGGGAGAGGAGACCAGCGAGCCTTTGTTTGGAAAGTCAGCATCGCCGGCTCCCGCGGCAATGTGTTCCTGGTGACATTAGCCCAGGGTAGACGGGTCGGAGGAAAAGGGGGCTCGCAAGGTTCAGCTCTGCTTTCGGACGAGGATCGAGAGGGTGACTTTTGTGCATTTGTTTGAATTTGTGGAAATCTTTCCCCCTTTTCTCTTGCCCGCTGCCGGGCATGTCCTGATCTGGTGGCCGCGCCTACCAGTCCGGGGCTGTCGATCGGAGCTGTCTCCCGCGGGTCTCCCTCCCTCAGTCCCTGACTTTGCAATACCGGGAGGGCTGATCTCCGCGAGGAAGGAGGCGGAGGAGTCACAGACACCGGGATTCGAAGCTTGACATGCTCCGGGGCGGACCGGAGGCAGCCAGGAGCTGAGCGCACCGCCGGGGCTGCTTCGCTTGCCGGCTCCCAGTGCCCTTGCCTTCCACTGGGCGCCAACCTTGCTCATCTGTTGGGACGCCCCCTTCTTCCCCGCGGTCCGCGGCCGGCAGGACCATGCTGCTGAAGGAGTACCGAATCTGCATGCCGCTCACCGTGGACGAGGTAGGCACCGCGCCGGGCCTCGCCCGCCCCTGGTCTCCAGCCGCCACCACTCGGCCGGCGGGTCCACTGCGTGCGGCTGGGAAATCCGGGTGCTACCCTGGCGCCCAAACCTAGAGGCTGGAGGGGAGGAGGCAGGGTATTCGCTGTTTCCACTCATCATCCCGACGGGGGAAAGGTGGCGTGGGGGTGAGGTGGGGGAGTCCAGGTGGGCTCTTCAGGGACATCTAGAATCAGATTACTGAGGACCACAATGCGTCACAGGGAGCTGCTGCGCCCCCTCCCTCCAATTAAGCAAATGCACAGAGAGAGTCCAACAAGAGCCCAAGCATGCTTTGCAGCTGTGGTGGTACCTACTGCCCCATGCCCCTTTTACAAGGTAGGCTTGCAGGGACAAATCCCGCGCGGGTGGGATCTGCAGACCAGAGTCCCGCCCGGGGGCACGTCGGAGGCCTGGAGAGATCCGTCTAGACCCCCGATTTCTTGTCGCCCCGGGTCTGGGCGCTGGCTCCTGCCCAGCCGAAGGATCCAGGCTCCCTCCGGGACCTGGCTTGTCCTTTGCTGACCGCCTGGCTCGGAAACTTTCTGCTTGTCTCGTTCCTTCCACGGCGGGGAGCGTGGTCGGAGGAAGAGCCCCAGTGGTGGGGCTTGTGGCGTGGCCACAGGAGGGCGCTCCAGCACGCCCGGCCAGGCTCTGGGTGTCCGGGCTACAGGGTGGGGGGCTCTCCGTTCAAGGGCTCGGCCTCCGCGCGCAGGTCAGCTTGCATTCTTCCGATCCCCCCCCCCCCGTCCCCCGCTCCCCCCCGCAATAGCGAGCTCCGCCATTCAGGAAACGGTGACTCAGTAAGGGTCACTCTGGCCCGGGCTTCCCTTTCGTTCCCCTTTCTCCTCTCCACCTTTTTGGATATTTCACAAATGCTTTGAGTCTGTCCAGGGACTCACAGCGAGAACATGAAGCCAATCAAGGCAATTTGAAACAGACTCGTGTGGGTTGGTGTGGCAACAAATGAAATCAGCGATCCACAACGTATTTGTATTTAAATCCGGTGCATTTAATCTATCAGACATGTGATCCACTCACTACTTTGTGAAAGAGCCTTGTGCTTTTGTGTTACTCGGGCTATGGCTGGCTCCCGGAGGCATGGGAGTGGGGGGGCGGGGGGGAGGGGGAAGCAATCTAACCTTTGGCAACTGGCGCCAGTGTTAAGGTGAGACCCTAGGACAATCCAAGGCAAGATCAAAGTAGCCTGAAGTTTACAAAACGACACTCCGACACTGGCTGCCAAAGAGGGAGAGCTCAACCATGCCCCTGCCTCCAGCCTTATCAACAAGCTTTGGAGTTTGCATGCATTTCAGGAGTGGCAGCCTTTTGAGCTGGCTTTTAAATTGTGGTAGCCGGGTGGTTGGGTGCCTCCTAACCTTATTAATGGAGAAGCAGCATACAGCTTTGTGGAGAATGAAGAAAGGCAAATGAATGGGATTGAACACACACACACACACACACACACACACACACACACACACACACCCTCCCCCTCCCTGGTGCTGGTGTTGGGTGGACAGGCTGTCTTCCACCTCCGGAGCTGGTGAACAGGACCAGGGCAACTTGGAGGTGTATGCATGCTTCCACTCAGTCTCCTGCTATGACTCTGGAGTGTGGGTTCTTGGGCAATGATGATATTTCGTGAAATGTTCAAATACTGTCAGAGATAATCAAGAAAAGAATCAGTTCTAGAATCTTCTTTTATGGAACTCACTGTCTAGACCAGACTGGCCTCAAACTCCCATTGATCTGCGTCTGCTGGGATTAAAGGTGTATGGCATCCCACCCAGACTTTCTTTCCTGCTAACATACATCTCTTTATCTTGGTTGGTATTCTTCTGGTGTTTTCTTAAGCACTCGGGCAGAGCATTTTCTCCCATATTTGTTTGTTTACGATTGAGTGGCATAGGTGGATGGCCTTTTCTTCCTTCTTTCCTTCCTACCTTCCTCCTTCCCTCCCTCCCTTCCTTGAGACAGTGTTCCTCTGTAGATTAGGCTGGCCTCAAGACTCAGAGAGCCACCTGACTCAGCTTCTCAAGTGCTGGATTAAAGGCATGCACTGCCACACCTGGCTAGGATGCCCTTTCTTAATTGGCCAACTAAGCTAGACTACCTGTAGGATAATTATAAATTATTTTACGTGTAACTCATTTAGACTAAAGTAAATATGATTCAGTTTTTGTGAGGTCATATTTTGATTTCTTAAACTTTTTTATTTTATTCTCTTTACAGTACAGGGGATTGAACACAACCTTGAGCATGGCAGGCAGGCATCCTGCCTCTGAGCTACATTCCTAGCCCGAGGTCACGTTGTGGAATTGTTCTCTATTTTGTCAGAGATGTAAATGGGGGCAGTTTAGACAGGAAGTCTCAAACAGAAAGAATTCAGATTGGCCAAATCACTTGATGGGTAAGGAAAGTAGATTTAGCTGGCCAGATGGCAGATACTTAGGAGTCCAAACTGGGGAGCACCCACAGTCTCCACCATCCCATGGTGGTGCCCCGCTGGCCTTCACACTCAGCACTGTGGAGGAACTTGAGTGTCTGGTTGGCTGCAGAAGATGGCTTACTGCAAATGAAATACTCTGGTAACTGAACTGTTGCTTCAACTTCTGGCTCCTTTGGACTTGATGCAACCTGTGTGGACCTTCTGCGGCTTGTTCCTGATTAACTTCAGCTGTTCATTAGCCGCACAAGCTGTGGTTTTGCCAAGGAAAGCAAATGCCTGGGATTTGGAGAGTCAGTGTCTGGTCTTTGTCCCCTTTCCTTATCCCCTGACCCCACTTGACCTCAGGCTGCTGGTGGGGAGTTAGGGGTTACCAGGTATAGGTGTTGTGGCTGGGGTTAGTAACCCCAGCAATTGGGAGACGGAGGCAAGAGGCTGGAGAGAGTTTGGAGAGTTTAAAGTCATCCTCAGCTGTATAATAAGTTTGAAGTCAGTAATGAACCTCTGTCCTTGCCGCCACCCCCCCCCCCCCCCAAAAAAAAGGTTAAATGCTGTTGTTCCGGGCCACACCACTAGTTAATAGCAGATTGAGGAGGAACACGCTGGTAATGTCATTATTTGTTTTTCCTAACGCTGCTCTTTGCAGTGTTTAATCCAGGAAAAGGAAAATCATTTCTTGAAAACATAAAGTCAGCACTCTCCTCGAAATAAAAAACCAGGGGCCGTTGAAATGTTACAGATAGTATTGACTTCTACTCGCGGTCCAGTCTTGTTTTAACACATAAAATGTTCCTCAGTTCCAGGAAAGAGAACAGCTCCAAGAGACTGAAAACAAAGCTGAGCTCCAGTCTAGGGCAGGGTTAATGGTGTGTTTATGTGTATTCCAGTGGAAGAAAGCTGGCCTAGCAAGATTGAAACCCTGGGCTTGTCCCCAGTGTTTTACACACACACACACACACACACACACACACACACACACACACACACAGAGAGAGAGAGAGAGAGAGAGAGAGAGAGAGAGAGAGAGAGAGAGAGAGGTTCAGAATAAGGAATTTAGGAAGTAAGATTCCATGGATTCATTGTGATTGTGTATGTGCTGGTGGTATACATGTTGAAGCCAGAGGACAACCTTGGGTGTCCTTCCTCAGACCTCAGCTCATCTTTTATTTATTTTTTTCTAGATAATAAGGCCCCTTTCACTGGCCTAGAACCCCTTGCCAAGTCAGCTAGGCTGGCTGGCCAGCGAGCCCCAGCGATCTGCCTCCCCAGTGTTGGGATTACAAGCAAGTCACCGTGTTGTGCTTTTCCTCCTCCTCTTCCTCCTCCCCGGCCAAGGGTGTGGAGACTGGACTCAGCACTTCACCACGTGACTGACAGAACTCTCCCTAGCCCTCCATGATCAAGCAAACATTACATTTATTTATTTGTGCATGTGTATGCTTGGAGGTCAGGATAACTTGTAAGAGTGGGTTCTCTCCTTATCCCAAGTGGGTCCTGGGGGTAGAGCTCAGGTCACCAGGCTTGGTGGCAAAGTACCTTTACTGGATGAGACAAAACCAGGACAAGAAACAAACCCCCAAAACGAACCAAACAAAAAAACTTCACTGACGTTAAATGCAGCCATCTTTGAACTAAACGTAAGCTTGGTGGGAAGTTATTGACTAGAGTCGGGGTGGGGCTGACAGCTGCTGTAATGAGGAAGATGTCTTCATCTGAATCATCTAGATTCTGGAATTTTAGACTTGGAAGTGCTACGTATTAGCGGCCTCTGTAGCCATGCCATTTTGTTTCCCAGATGACTCCAGGCCTGTAGAGGGCTCATCCAGTTGCCTGTCTCTTTGCTAAGGTGGGATTGGGCTTGGAACAAGGCTGCTGATTTCTGGTATGAATGTTTTTCATTGGAAGCTATAAGGGCTGCAGTTTCTCTCTCTCCGATTTCTGCTGCTAGCGTATGTTATCCCCAAGCCCCATGTAGCTATATAACAGGTACATGGGGCTTTCCCTAGTTGAAGGTAGCTTGGAGACTCAGACCTTGTATCTACCCAGGGGACACAGAAGTATAGTCCCTTTTAGAACCTACTGGAAGTGTGTCTAGTGCGAAAGAGTGTTTGCTCGATGTTCATGAAGCCTTATGATAAGTCCCTAGCACCTAAAAAAACAAACAAACAAAAAAAAAATCATTACCTCAGTGTGATGGTGCATGCCTATAATCCTAGCAAGAGGCAGACTGAGACTGGAGAATTAAGAGTTCCGAGAGATGGCTCAACAGTTAAGAGCACTTGCTGCTCTTGTAGAGGAGTCAGGTTTCATTCCCAGTACCCATATGGTTTTTCACAATCATCTATAACTCCAATACCATGAGATCCATCAATGCCTTCCTCTAGCCTCCGAGGGCACCAGACACACAGGTCATATGCATACATACATGCAGCAAAAAAACTCAATACACATTAAAAAAAAAAAACAGTTCAAGGTCAACCTGGACTCCTTGGTGAGGCTGTCTAAATAAATAAATTAATAAATAAGCAAATAAAAAGATAAGTATTGCTGGGCACACGCCTTTAATCCCAGCACTCGGGAGGCAGGTGGATCTCTGTGAGTTCAAGGCCAGCCTGGTCTATAGAGTGAGTTCCAGGACAGCCAAGGCTACACACACACACAAAAGAAAAAAATCTTGAAAAAAAAAAAAAAAAGATAAGTATCCCTCAGAGACTGAGCCCATCCTAAGAGAATGTAAGGTAGGTATCTTAGTTTTTGCTTTTAAAATAAAACAATAGACTATTTAAAACTATTTTTCTTTAAAAAAAATAATAATCCTGGCTGCCCTCACATTAATGAGTGTTCAGGTAGGGATTTATTTGTGGTCTTTAGGGATTTGCTGCACAATGAA